CAGGACAGTTTTAAGGATTGTGTTGTTGAATAAATGATGTCATCAGTCATATTGTGTCTCAGAGATCAACACACACGTACAGCGTTACTGTGTTTTACTGCGGTACAAACGCACTCGCGAACTAGAGCATCACTTTTGTGCTGAAGAACCACTGATTGGCTGAAGAATGTTTCTGAAGGTGTTTATTGGGTGAAGGGATCAGTCATTTTGAATAAAAGCAGCTCATTTACATGTTGCCTTATAAATAATAATTAATAATGCACTGTTTTATTTAGATTATAGTTATTTTACGTGAATGTTTGATGGCTGATTTCAATTAAATGTATAATTTTATGAATTGTATATGTATGTGCGTGTATGAGCGAGAGAGTGTGTGTGTGTGTGTGTGTGTGCGTGTGAGATAATATCCGCTCCTGGCTGGTACCGGATCTTCAGGGTGGGTGTGTGTTGCAGTGATTACAGGCCAGTCATAAACACACACACACACACACACACACACACACACACACTGCGACGCAATCAAGGCGTCTGTTCCCACAGAGACCCTCCCAACACACACACACACACACTGCTGCCATGGCGACGGTCAGGATCACGCCCATAAACCCCCAGTGTCCTCTGGGAGAAAGTGTGTGAGGGGTGTGCTTATTGTGAGAGGATTTTATTCACAAGACAGTTGCCTCACACACACACACACACACACACACACATAATCAGTGCACAGCCGAGGATCTCTGGTTGATATGAACCTGTTATATCACACACACACACACACACACACACACTGTTTTCAGGTTTTCAGTTCATCCTGTGGTTGAATGTGGAAGTGTGTTGTGTGTGTGTGTGTGTGTGTGTGTATGTGAACCATTCCAGTGTGTGAGAGCAGACGTTAATCTTCAACCGTACAGTTCTACATATTAAAGTCGTTTGATCAAATATTTGCTCACTGGTTATATATTAAATTATATATATATATATATTTTACACATCAGTAGCTATTTTTGTTTGAAATGAGTAGAAATTGCTACTTATTTAAAAATATTAGAGGTGTAAAAACTGTATATTGGTTCTAGAAGTTTCCGTCTTTTCCTGGTCTTCAGCAGAACTGAGACTGACACTCGACCAGCAGCTTTACGGGAGTTTATCCTGGATCCCGGTTTAACCCTGTGATCCCACACCTGTGTGTGTGTGTGTGTGTGTGTGTGTGTGTGCGTGTGTGTCGAGGTGCCATGTGCTGGAGACACACCTGCAGGGGGAACTGTGTGTGAGAGAGAGAGATTTTTTGTGTGTGTGTGTGTGTGTGTGTGTGTGTGTGTGTATCTTAACCATGTATCCAGAAGTGAACTAAACCTCCGTCTGTCTGAGTATATATGACTGGTTATAAATAAAACAACAGAAGTCTCTGCAAATGGTTCCATTTAGATAGATAAGTGTGTGTGTGTGTGTGTGTGTGTGTGTGTGTGTGTGTGTGTGTGTGTGTGTGTGTGTGTGTGTGTGTGTGTGTGTGTGTGTGTGTGTGTTCAGGATTTGCAGTTCTGTAGGATAATCTGTGTCTGCTTGTTTTGACAGAAATTCTCCAAAAATAACTTTCGTTTCTATTTACATTTATGCGTTTAACAATGAAAGCCATTCGTCACAAAGCCAATAATCATAATATTCAAAAACTATTTCCTTAAACTTTCACTTTGAAAACAATGTCTGTAGACTTTTTTTTTTGTGTACGTACGGTAATCATCTCCAAATGACCCAATGTCACTTAAAGGGTTAAACTAGTAACCTGACTCGCGCAGAGGGAGAAATAAACCAATAGTTGAAATAAAGTTGTTGTTTTTTTTGCGCACAAAAAGTGTTCTCGTCGTTTGATAAAGTTAAGATTGAGCCCCTGTAGTCACTTGGACTATTTTAACGATGTCTTTGATGACTTTTCGGGGACAGCAAGAGTCATTCCCTCAAGAAGCCTATGGACTAGTATGCAGGAGTGATCTTAATATCTGAAATATCGTAATTTGTGTTGCGAAGATGAACGAAGGTCTTACGGGGTTGGAACAACATGAGGGTGAGGAAATACTAACAGAATTTTCATTTTTGGCTGAACTAACCCTTTAATTAATATGCGTGACTGATGTAATATTTCATGTTTCCGCTCATTTTTTTTATATAATTTTATTTGAAGTGATTCTGAAGGCGGTTCTCAAACTTTCTGACGTCCAACAGAAAATGTTCAATTGCTCAAATGATTTCTGCTGTAATAACACTGCCTGTTTTCAATATATTAAAACTACATTTTTATACTAAAACTAGTTGCGATTTTTATTTCTTCAATTAAAATAATTCAATTGTAATTTCTGAAGATTCAATAACCGAAAAAAAAACATGCAATCGTCACTGTGATCAAGAGCTGAGATTCAGCGTTCTGACCAATCACAGCAGAGCAGCTCTCAGAGAGGCGGGGCTTAGAGAGACTGAATCCTCGATGGAAGCGTTTCAGACACTGTGCAGATTATGAGTTAAAGTGATTTTGAGCTTGGATACATGTGAAATAAAAACCACTTAAATGAAATGAATGAGTCCTGGTGAGGCTATGTGTGCAAATAAGATAAAAAGTTTGTAAAACTAGCTTACTTGCAATTATAAAACCTGTAAAGTTCATTGTATTTTGGCTAGTTGGTTCAGTCTCGTATCAGGCGGTTCTCTATTCAGAACAGCACAGCCTCGTCACAGATAGGACGCTGTTTTCTTGCCAACACGTTGGGTCCGCTAATAAGATTAGCGAGCACACAACGTTAGCATGTCTATCTCTCTGTCTCTGTCTCGCCCTCCCTCACGCGTCTTTGTCCTTGACCTAACACAATACGTTCATTGAGGAGCGTTTCTCAGCCTTTTCTGAAACCCTCTCGCATTGTCTTTAATGTTTCAGAACGTTCTGTCTAAAGATGGTCTGTTCTGACACAGGAAGAGTTGATTTACTCCCACATGTTTACTTAGTGAAGATAAAGATGTTTACGTCAGTGTGTTTAGACTGATGTTCTGTCATCATATCAGGACGATCCTGGTGTTTTGTCTTCATGCTGATCCTCCTCCTGTCCTTCACCGGTGGTGGGAACCAAATTCGTTGCTTGTCAGAAGATGCAATACCAGCGAAAAACCATATATATCTCCAATCTAGTGAAATATTTGTCCATCACTGACTACATTTACGTGCACGTTAAGTTCAGATTCAGCTCTACATTCAGGTTTCAGCCGAATATGATGTTTGTTTACATGCAGAACAGTTGATAAATGTCTTTAAAGTAAAATGTTTAATAAAGCAGGCGAAAGGTGTATGAACAATCTTTCAGATTAATACCAAAATTAGATAAAAATAAGACTTAAGTTTGTTTTATTTGTGGTTTTGTTCGGTGCCGGCAGACTAAATAAAACTTAATTTCGTTGTGTGTAAAGCTGCTGAACTGGAGATCTGACTCAAACTCAAAAACACTCGTTTTGTCTGCTTTTATTTTATTGCCAGAAGTAAAGGAAGTAAAATTGATTTTAAGGCGGCAGGCTTTTCAGTTTTTTTATCTTTGGTTTTGTTTGGTTTGTTTGATGATCTGTGGTTTTGTTCAGTTTGTTTGATCTGTGGTTTTGTTTGTTCAGTTTGTTTGATCTGCGGTTTTGTTCGGTTTGTTTGATCTGTGGTTTTGTTCGGTTTGTTTGATCTGTGGTTTTGTTCGGTAGTTTGATCTGTGGTTTTGTTTGGTTTGTTTGATCTGTGGTTTTGTTCGGTTTGTTTAATCGGTGGTTTTGTTTGTTCAGTTTGTTTGATCTGCGGTTTTGTTCGGTTTGTTTGATCTGTGGTTTTGTTCGGTAGTTTGTTCTGTGGTTTTGTTTGGTAGTTTGTTCTGTGGTTTTGTTCGGTTTGTTTGATCTGTGGTTTTGTTCATTTTGTTTGATCTGTTGTTTTGTTCAGTTTGTTTTATCTGGTTTTGTTCGGTTTGTTTTATCTGGTTTTGTTCGGTAGTTTGATCTGTGGTTTTGTTCGGTTTGTTTGATCTGTGGTTTTGTTCGGTTTGATCTGTGGTTTTGTTCGGTAGTTTGATCTGTGGTTTTGTTTGGTTTGTTTGATCTGTGGTTTTGTTCGGTTTGTTTGATCTGTGGTTTTGTTTGTTCAGTTTGTTTGATCTGCGGTTTTGTTCGGTTTGTTTGATCTGTGGTTTTGTTTGGTAGTTTGTTCTGTGGTTTTGTTTGGTTTGTTTGATCTGTGGTTTTGTTCATTTTGTTTGATCTGTTGTTTTGTTCAGTTTGTTTTATCTGGTTTTGTTCGGTTTGTTTGATCTGTGGTTTTGTTCGGTTTGTTTGATCTGTGGTTTTGTTCAGTTTGTTTGATCTGTGGTTTTTGTTCAGTTTGTTTTATCTGATTTTGTTCGGTTTGTTTTATCTGGTTTTGTTCAGTTTGTTATCTGGTTTTGTTCGGTTTGTTTGATCTGTGGTTTTGTTCGGTTTGTTTTATCTGTTTTTGTTCAGTTTGTTTTATCTGGTTTTGTTCAGTTTGTTTTATCTGGTTTTGTTCGTTTTGTTTGATCTGTGGTTTTGTTCGGTTTGTTTGATCTGTGGTTTTGTTCGGTTTGTTTGATCTGTTTTTGTTCAGTTTGTTTTATCTGTTTTTGTTCAGTTTGTTTTATCTGTTTTTGTTCAGTTTGTTTTATCTGTTTTTGTTCAGTTTGTTTTATCTGGTTTTGTTCAGTTTGTTATCTGGTTTTGTTCGGTTTGTTTGATCTGGTTTTGTTCAGTTTGTTTGATCTGGTTTTGTTCAGTTTGTTTTATCTGGTTTTGTTCGGTTTGTTTGATCTGTGGTTTTGTTCAGTTTGTTTGATCTGTGGTTTTTGTTCAGTTTGTTTGATCTGTGGTTTTTGTTCAGTTTGTTTTATCTGGTTTTGTTCGGTTTGTTTTATCTGTTTTTGTTCGGTTTGTTTGATCTGTGGTTTTGTTCGGTTTGTTTGATCTGTGTTGTTCTGTTGTAGGTTCCCTCAGACTCTGGTACCGGACTGCTGGCCGAGCCACAGATCGCAATGTTCTGTGGGAAACCCAACTTGCACATCAACGTTCAGACTGGAAAATGGGAACCCGATCCGTCTGGAACCAAGAGCTGTGTCGGCACTAAAGAGGGAATCCTGCAATACTGCCAGGAGGTAAAGATCAACACACACAAAGATAGTTGGATATAGATATAGATAGATATGGAGAGATAGATGGATGGATAGATACAGATAGACAGATACAGATAGACAGACGCTGAAGGAAGGGTTCGGGAGGAAATGAAACAGGAGACTCAGAACAGCAGATGGAGGTTTGGAAGAACTGAAAACAATCATCAGTGTATTATAATATGAAATATGCACAGAATATGATGCAGGATTCAATAAGCGCTCGGCCTTGGCAGAGCTTAAGCTGCGTCACTGTAAACATGAGCTTTTACATTTTTAAATCCTCTTGTGTTGTCCTTGCTGAATAAAATGATTCATTTCTTTTTTTTTACAAAAACTTAAACGCATCACGGTTTCACTATTTTCAACATTTATAATAATCATAAATGTTTCTTAAGCATCAAATCTTTATATTAAAATGATTTCTGAAGCATTGTGTCTCTGGAGACTAACATTTCACAGTTTTTACAGTATTTTTGCTCAAATAAATGCAGTCTTTCAAAAACGTAAAAAGACCCCAAACTCCTGATTATAAATGCCAGTGCAAATGTTCTGAATGCATCATTAAGTGTGAGAGTGTGTGTCATGTTCAGGTGTATCCAGAGCTTCAGATCACGAATGTGGTGGAGGCCAATCAGCCGGTCAGCATCAAGGACTGGTGTAAGAAGGGCCGTAAGCAGTGCCGCAGTCACATGCACATCGTGGTGCCCTACCGATGCCTGGGTGAGTGAGTGAGTGAGTGAGTGAGTGAGTGAGTGAGTGAGTAATTTGAGTGAGTGAGTGAGTGAGTAATTTGAGTGAGTGAGTGTGTGAGTGAGTAATTTGAGTGAGTGAGTGAGTAATTTGAGTGAGTGAGTGAGTAATTTGAGTGAGTGAGTGAGTAATTTTAGTGAGTGAGTAATTTGAGTGAGTGAGTGAGTGAGTAATTTGAGTGAGTGAGTAATTTGAGTGAGTGAGTGAGTGAGTAATTTGAGTGAGTGAGTGAGTGAGTGAGTGAGTGAGTAATTTGAGTGAGTGAGTGAGTGAGTGAGTAATTTGAGTGAGTGAGTGAGTGAGTAATTTGAGTGAGTGAGTGAGTAATTTGAGTGAGTAAGTGAGTGAGTGAGTGAGTGAGTAATTTGAGTGAGTGAGTGAGTAATTTGAGTGAGTAAGTGAGTGAGTGAGTGAGTGAGTAATTTGAGTGAGTAATTTGAGTGAGTGAGTAATTTGAGTGAGTGAGTGAGTAATTTGAGTGAGTAATTTGAGTGAGTGAGTAATTTGCGTGAGTGAGTGAGTGAGTAATTTGAGTGAGTAAGTGAGTGAGTAATTTGAGTGAGTGAGTAATTTGAGTGAGTGAGTGAGTAATTTGAGTGAGTAATTTGAGTGAGTGAGTAATTTGCGTGAGTGAGTGAGTGAGTAATTTGAGTGAGTGAGTAATTTGAGTGAGTGAGTAATTTGAGTGAGTGAGTAATTTGAGTGAGTAAGTGAGTGAGTGAGTGAGTAATTTGAGTGAGTGAGTGAGTGAGTAATTTGAGTGAGTAATTTGAGTGAGTGAGTGAGTAATTTGAGTGAGTGAGAGAGTAATTTGAGTGAGTGAGTGAGTAATTTGAGTGAGTGAGTGAGTGAGTAATTTGAGTGAGTGAGTGTGTGAGTGAGTGAGTAATTTGAGTGAGTGAGTGAGTAATTTGAGTGAGTGAGTGAGTAATTTGAGTGAGTGAGTGAGTGAGTGAGTAATTTGAGTGAGTGAGTAATTTGAGTGAGTGAGTAATTTGAGTGAGTGAGTAATTTGAGTGAGTGAGTGAGTAATTTGAGTGAGTGAGTGAGTGAGTGAGTGAGTAATTTGAGTGAGTGAGTGAGTAATTTGAGTGAGTGAGTGAGTAATTTGAGTGAGTGAGTGAGTGAGTAATTTGAGTGAGTAATTTGAGTGAGTAATTTGAGTGAGTAAGTGAGTGAGTGAGTGAGTAATTTGAGTGAGTGAGTGAGTAATTTGAGTGAGTAATTTGAGTGAGTAAGTGAGTGAGTGAGTGAGTGAGTAATTTGAGTGAGTAATTTGAGTGAGTGAGTAATTTGCGTGAGTGAGTGAGTGAGTGAGTAATTTGAGTGAGTAAGTGAGTGAGTAATTTGAGTGAGTGAGTAATTTGAGTGAGTGAGTGAGTAATTTGAGTGAGTGAGTAATTTGAGTGAGTGAGTAATTTGCGTGAGTGAGTGAGTGAGTAATTTGAGTGAGTGAGTAATTTGAGTGAGTGAGTGAGTGAGTAATTTGAGTGAGTGAGTAATTTGAGTGAGTGAGTAATTTGAGTGAGTAAGTGAGTGAGTGAGTGAGTGAGTAATTTGAGTGAGTAATTTGAGTGAGTAAGTGAGTGAGTGAGTAATTTGAGTGAGTAATTTGAGTGAGTAATTTGAGTGAGTGAGTAATTTGCGTGAGTGAGTGAGTGAGTGAGTAATTTGAGTGAGTGAGTAATTTGAGTGAGTGAGTGAGTAATTTGAGTGAGTAATTTGAGTGAGTGAGTAATTTGCGTGAGTGAGTAATTTGAGTGAGTGAGTAATTTGAGTGAGTAAGTGAGTGAGTAATTTGAGTGAGTGAGTAATTTGAGTGAGTGAGTGAGTAATTTGAGTGAGTAATTTGAGTGAGTGAGTAATTTGAGTGAGTGAGTAATTTGAGTGAGTGAGTAATTTGAGTGAGTAAGTGAGTGAGTGAGTGAGTAATTTGAGTGAGTGAGTGAGTGAGTGAGTAATTTGAGTGAGTAATTTGAGTGAGTGAGTGAGTAATATGTGTAGGGCTGCAACTAACGATTATTTTGATAATCGATTAATCGGACGATTATTTTTTCGATTAATCGATTAATCGGATAAAAAATTATATTTCATTTTTTGTTTATTATAACAAAATAAAACCCTAAAAACCACACTCTTTTGTGTGTTAAACAATCTACTTAATACAGATAACTTCATTATAAAGAAAAACAACAAATAAAAAAAATATATATGACCATAACCTATGACAAAAATGCTATTGTAAACTATATTAGTGGATAACTCAGCAAAACTTAGCCTAGAAATATCACAAGTGCACAATAATTTTATAAAATCTAAACATTTAGTGAAAAAAACATTCCTTAGTGGGGAACAAATAAGAGACAATAAGTGTAGCACTAACTCTGGTAAAACGTACACATTGCTATTTGTATTGTTGTTATACATTCATGAAAAACATCGTAAAATCAGATGCACAGCTGTTTTAAAGCTGTTTAGTGAGGAAGCAAAATATAATAGATAGGACAGAACAAGAAAGGCTATTAATAAGCTTTCATTGCGCTAAAAAGTATTATGACATGATCATGAAAGAGCTGCACAGAGTGCAAATGCGCATCGCGAGCACTGAATGATGCGCTTGAAGCAACACGGAGTCACTGGGCGGCGCGCAGCTCTTCAGTGTCCGCCGCATTAAAATTAAAAGCACCAAGGAAAGAGAAAGACATATTGACGGTGTATACAGTATCTATGCAATAGTTTATTAAGCCTTTTCTTTTAACAGTTTTAAATTTCAGTTAGGCTACTGTGCACGTGAAGAACAATTATAGTGCGCCGACTCTACTATAGTGTTGTGATCTAACAGACACTCAGTAGAAAGTGATTAAGTTACAGCAATAAAAGTCTAGCAAGATAGAAAAACCATCATAGACCTTTATCTACGGATCAATTATAATAATAACATTGAATCATTGGAAAGAGATCATCATGTTAACTGTTGTAACGCGACGCGCTGTTGAATGACTGACAGCCGCAGTGGAGGGAAAAGCTTAGATTAACTTGAATTTAATGACTTAAATATACATTTCTATCTCACATTATACTATAGTATGGCTTCATAAAGTATACACGATTAACGTAGGTCACCTATTTTGGTTTCAAAACGGCGAATTTACCGAAAGGTGAATGATTTTCGTGTGCTGCATATTGATAGCGGTTTCCTGATGACCGCAAATTAGTTCAAACTCACTGAATCAAGAGCGCGCATGCGAGACAGAAGATAATGTGCTCCAAACTGTCCGTGTTGCGCGCGCGAGACAGGGTAGAGCGGCGAGGGAGAGAGACTGCATGTGCGCCTCATGAAGCGCATGTAAGAAGCGCATGTTCCGTAAACAATCCCCGTGACGTAATCAGACCAACTAATCGATAATGACATTCGTTGACAACGATTTTCATAATCGATTATAATCGATTTTATCGATTAGTTGTTGCAGCCCTAAATATGTGTGAGTGAGAGAGTAATTTGAGTGAGTGAGTAATCTGAGTGAGTAAGTGAGTGAGTAATTTGAGTGAGTGAGTAAGTGAGTGAGTGAGTGAGTGAGTGAGTGAGTAATTTGAGTGAGTGAGTGAGTAATTTGAGTGAGTGGTGTTTGAGTAAGTTGAGTCAGTAAGTCAGTGTGTGAGACACCTCCTCAACACTCCTCGACACACAACCTGTGTGTTTCTCTCTCTCTCTGTCAGTGGGCGAGTTCGTGAGCGACGCTCTGCTGGTTCCTGATAAGTGTAAGTTCCTGCACCAGGAGCGCATGGACATGTGTGAGAGTCACTTACACTGGCACACCGTCGCCAAAGAGGTCAGAGACCACACACACACACACACATATATATATAAGAATATATTATTATTTAATTATTTTTTTATTATTTATTATTTTTTATTATTTAATTAATTATATTATTTAATTATATTTATATATATATATATATATTTAGATGAACTAAGATTGTTGTTAGATAATTGATGGTGGTTGAGGAGATTCCCCATCTACTATATGCAGAGAAAAGCACTATATAAATGAAATTAATTGTTGTTATTATTATTATTATGAACTAGTAAAGTTGTCATCAGTATTCCTCGTGTGATCCGCCTCTCCACAGTCGTGTGGCGACCGCAGCATGAATCTCCATGATTATGGGATGCTGTTGCCGTGCGGGATCGACCGTTTCCGGGGCGTTGAGTTCGTCTGCTGCCCGTTGGAGGAGTCGTCTGACAGCGCAGTGATGAAGGACGAGGATGAGGATGATGATTCTGACGTGTGGTGGGGAGGAGCAGAGGCCGATTACAGCGAGAACAGGTGCGGCTTACACTCCAGGACCCCGAAACACTTCTCTCGAGGGGCCTTTATTCGCTGCATGACGGGTTTCAATAACTAATCGATAATGAAAATCATCGACAACGGATGTCATTATCGATTAGTCGTGTCTGCCCACCCTGCATGGAAAACGTCCGCCAGTCGTGTCGAATAACAGCACTTAATAACGCATATCTGTGGATAAAATGCGATTCAAGCGAATGTTTAGCATTGGGCCTTAGCCTTCACAACGCATTCAAAATAAAAGTCCCACACACTGTCAAAATAAAAGTCCCACACATAGTTAAAGTGTGTCGGATAATTTATTAGTATGGGATTTGATTTTTTCCCCCTGATTGAATGGTGAGAGTGTATCTATATAACAGATGGTTGACTGATTATGAAGATGCTTTTTGACGAGCAAACGTTTTCCTGCAGCATGACTCGAGACGCGGACGCCGAACCCGCTGTGGTGGAGGATGACGAGGATCCAGACGAGGAAGAGGACGAGGCTCAGGACAACGACGAAGATGGAGACGGAGACGAGGACGAGAAGGATGACGAGGTCATCGACGAGCGCCGTGACAACGGGCAGAGCACCAGCGTTGCCATGACGACCACCACGACCACGACGACCGAGTCTGTGGAGGAGGTGGTGCGAGGTGAGCGAGAGCAACCAATCACACGCTGTTCTCACCAGTGCTCGAACAATATCGATGTATTTTTTTTTTTTATTTATTATTATTATTATTTTATTTTATTTATTTTTTTAAATTTTGTTTTTTTTATTTTATTGATTCATGAATGCTTCTGAATGCAGACATATAAGGTTGGTCTACACTCCAAAAAAATGAAAGTTAAAAAAAAAAGTTTCAAAACGGGATGCATTTTGTGCATTTAAGCTTTTAAGTTATTCAATGATTATTAAAAAATGTGAGAGCTATCAGTTAACAGTGCGAGGTGAGCGAGCGCGTCCAGTCTCACTAGTGGTCGAGCGATATATATCCATTTATTTTGATGGCCGATGCACAGATGTGATTCATGAATGCAGACCTGAGGTTGGTCTCCACTCAGATTACTGAACAAATCAAAGTACTTCAAAATGAAAGTGGAAAAACATGAATTTTGAGTGGTGTAAGCTTTCGAATGATTCATAATTTGATGATTTAAAATAAAAAGTGACATCTAACAACAGGCTAAAATTTTTAAAACGGATACATAATTAAATTGAATTTAGTTTGACATTTGCTAAATTAGCATTAAATATTCAAACAAACAGAATTATACTTTAAATTGCAACTTGATTCTTAAATCCAATTATAGTATTTTTCACAAATAAATTAATAGTTAAGTGCACAAATAAAAGGTTACAAAACCTGTAACTGTAATTTAGACGAGTTTGTATTTGCCAATGTTTGCAAGGTTTGTGAAGTTTTGTGAATGTTTTTCATTAGATTCTAAGACTTATTTTTTTTCCCTTATAGTAATTTAATAGACAGAACTGTTAAACAGAGACAGTAAATTAATGAAGACGCTCGGACACTCAGGCGATAATCCGAAAATAAAAGTCCCATATTCTATCAAAAAAATATTCTGATTTGTAATATTGTTTATTTTTATGAATTATTCATAATTTGTTCATCATTGGATTTGACTAGACCATTTTAAAGTAACAAACATCCTAATGTGATTTTTTTTTTTTTAGGGAAAAGGATATTAAATTAAAAGATGAAGGGTGGGACTTACTATTCACAACTTCTTCAAAATAAAAGTCCTACATGTCAAAATAAGTCACGAAATTTCGTAGACAGAAATATTAAACCGAGACAGTTAATAAATGAAGACACTCGCTCACTCAGGCGCTGCCATTCACAACGATTTCAAAATAGAAGTCCCATGTGCTGTCAAAATAAGTCATTTATTAGACAAAACTGTTAAACAGAGATAGTAAACTAATGCAGGCACTGCCATTCACAACGATTTCAAAATAAAAGTCACATCAGCCAAACAGATCCAGGAAAACTCCCAAATATCGATATATCGGTCGACCACTAGTTCTCATGTCATCAGACGCTGCTCTTCATGCGTGTCTGCGTGTGTGTGTGTGTCCTGTCAGAGGTGTGTTTTGCGAGCGCAGAGACGGGCCCCTGCAGGGCCATGTTGCCGCGCTGGTATTTTGTGCGCGAGGAGGGCCGGTGCGCGCCCTTCATCTACGGTGGCTGCGGAGGGAACCGCAATAACTTTGAGTCGGAGGAATACTGTCAGTCTGTCTGCAGCAGTGTGTGTAAGTCACCGACAGAACCGCCACGCGTGCCACTAACACTCATTCACTCGCACTCGTGCCCAACAAACCTCTGCCGTTTCTTCAGCGAAACACAACCAGAGACGTTTAGCAAGATGCTGTTAATCATAATGAAAGCAGACTGCCATCAGGAGCCGTCCAAAAGCTCCACACAAGTATCATAAATGGGTTTCAAAGTGTGGTCTGGGGAAAAAATTAAAATTAAAATAAAAATGGATTACATATATGTTTTTATTATTTAATTATTAAAAATAAATAATTAAATAATACAATTTATATTAAAATAAACAAATAATTAATAAACATAATACCATAGTGAGTAAAAAAAAATAAGCTAAATATTTTCCAAATAATATTTCACACTTTTTTTTTTTTTTTTTTTTTTTTTTTAATAAAAATAAATAAATCACAGTATAAATTGGTGCTGCCTTTTTAAATGTTAGTATGGATTGGGGGTCTTGGAAAAAAAAAACAGTGTTAAAGATAAATCAATAATAAAAATAGATTAGAATTAATTACAAAGGCTAAATTAAAAAAGAAATAATTAAATAATAAAATTCAGATTAAAATAAACACATAAATTAAAAAAAAAAACAGTACAATACTATAGTGAGTAGAAAAATAAACTAAATATTTTTCAAATAATATTTTTTTTTTTTATCCATTTTTTTTTTTTTTTTATATAAAAATAAATAAATCACAGTATAAATTGGTGCTGCCTTTTTAAATGTTAGTATGGATTGGGGGTCTTGGTACTTCAAATAGTATAGTAAGTTCTTAAGTATATTATATAATATATTAAGGATATTCTTGCAGATAGTATCGAAATAAAAGGCCACTTAAGAGTATTCTTTCATAAGTGCACATTGTAATAATGTCAAATTGTAACTTTTAAAATGCATTTTTTTGCTGTGCTTGAAGTACACTTGACATGTGAGTAACTATATAGTACTTATCTTAAATGCAGTGTATTATTTTACTCCTTAAAGTATTTTTTTAAATGCACTGAAGTATTTCCATTTTAAAAAAATCGAAACGTCTTTAGATGGAAAATCAATTTTACAATCGATTGAATGAACACTTACTGTAGGTCTCAAATCGAACAGGATTTTTTCACAGCCTTAGTTATGATGCATTTATAGTGCTTTTGTGTCATCCTGCTAAACATCTTCTTCCGTGTTTCACCGAGTAAAAGAAAGTCATACGGGTTTGGAAGGACATGACGACGAGTGAATGAATTATTCCTTCAGTTTGAGACTCTTGCTGATCTGCACTGACTGTCAGTTTCTCACTTGTGTGTGTGTGTGTGTGTGTGCTGATTAACTCGGATCTTCTCTCTGGATTTCTCACCTGTAATTCCTCAACTAATCTTTTGGTATTTTTGTGAGACTGAAGTGTGTGTGTTTTACATTTGCATGCATATAATCGTCGCTTCAAACCTTGAGCTTCCTCGCTTCTCTCTTCATGACTTTATCTATAGACTTTGGTAAGTGTCGTTTAAGTCATGCTTTCAATCAAGTCCTTTGATATGGTAAGTAATGCATCAACAAGAGAGAAGATTGTGCTTGTCAAGCCATTTCATGTTGGATCCTATTGCTGGTTTGAGATATGAATAGTTTGCAACAGCTCTATTTTAGTGTATAAATAAACAGACATCATACAGAGATTATCTGTAACTTAAACACAATCATTTGGCACAAATCATCCAGAATGTTCTGCTCAAGGTTGCAGTTTCTTGTGTGTTATATTGCCTCGCTTGTGTTGTTTCGCTACAGATTAAACAGGAATAAAATGGTTTAACCCTGGTTTAAGCTGCGTTCACACCACGTCGTTTTTACCGTAATTTCAAGATGACAACACGTGTACCAATATATACCAATATGATGGACGATATACCGATATGATGGCCGATATATCAGCCGATATACCGATTTGATGGCCTGTATATCGACCGATACCGATACGATGGCCGATATACCAATATGATGGCCGATATACCGATATGATGGCTGATATATCGCCCAATACCGATATGGTGGCCGATATATACCGATACGATGGCCGATATGCCGATACGATGGCCGATATATCGACCGATATCGATATGATTGCCGATATACCAACCAATATCGATATGATGGCCGATATACCGGTATGATGGCCTATATATCGACCGATACCGATATGATGGCTGATATACCGATATGATGGCCGATATACCGATATGGTGGCCGATATACCGACCGATACCGATATGATGGCCGATATACCGATATGATGGCCGATATACCGATATGATGGCCTATATATCGCCCGATACCGATATGATGGCCGATATACCTACCGATATGATGGCCGATATACCGATATGATGGCCTATATATCGCCCGATACCGATATGATGGCTGATATACCGAAATGATGGCCGATATATAACGATACGATGTCCGATATACCGACCGATACCGATATGATGGCCGATATACCGGTATGATGGTCTATATATCGACTGATACCGATATGATGGCTGATATACCGATATGATGGTCGATATACCGATATGATGGCCGATATATCGATATGAAGGCCGATATACCGATATGATGCCCGATAGCATCTCTGCAAGTTGTAATTACGAGCTCTATGAGGACGCGAGATCTTAACGATCTTTACTCTTAAATTTTTTAAATGCACTAAATTGTAACTTTATCATTTGAAAAGTGTAATTGGGAATTAAATAGTCAAAACCATTGTGAAATTATAAAGTATCGTCTTATTAAACTGTCCGTACACTTATTGTCAATGCTTCGGTTTGCATGTTATGCTAGCGTGTTAGTGTGGGGTATTTTGAGCCTTGTTAGTGTTATTTTCTAGCGATTTTTATTTTTACTTACTCTATGCCCTATATACTAGCATCATAAGCTAATCTGTGGTTCGAGTAAAAACTGGGTACATTCGATTATCATGAAAACACACTCAGAGAACGGTCGACTCAGTACCAATGTGTCCTTTAAGCTGCGTTCACGTCACGTTGTAATTACCATAATTTCAACATGACAACACATGATGGCATTTTTTTTTTGTAATAAAGTTGTATTCACAAGCTGTACGAGGACACGAGGTCTTATGTCACCAGTCTCCTGTGATGTGTTGTTTCTGTTTGGGATCCGCAGTGCCGACTCCCTCCTCCAGTCCTCCTGACGCCGTGGACCGATACCTGGAGACGCCGGCCGACGAGAACGAACACGCTCACTTTCTGAAGGCCAAGGAGAGTCTGGAGGCCAAACACCGCGAGCGCATGTCTCAGGTGCGACACGCATGCGTTCAATCGGCGAGGACGCGTTAAATTGACCCAAAAGTGACATTTATGGTGTTACAAAAGATTCGATTTCAAATAAATGCAAAGAATCCAAAAAAAAAAAAAAACATTGATCACTGTTTCCACAAAAATATGAGACCGTGTTCAAAATTGATAATAATCATAAATGTTTCTTGAGCATCAGATCATCATATTAGAGTGATTTCTGAAGGATCATGTGACACTGAAGACTGGAGTAATGATGATAAATTCAGCTTTGATCACAGGAATAAATTACACTTTACTATATATTCACTATATATAAACATCTGCTTTAAATTACAATGATATTTCCCTATTTTGACTGTATTTTTGGTCAAATAAACCCAAACTTTGTGACTTCTTTCAAAAACATTAACAAATCTACTTTACTATATTTGTGTGAAGGAGTTTTTGAAGATGTTTCAACAGAAATATGAAGTTTGATGTAACGTGACGGAGGATAAAGTGCTGATTGTCACGTGATCTTGTCTTGTAGGTGATGAGGGAATGGGAAGAGGCCGAGAGACAGGCGAAGAGTTTACCGCGGAACGACAAGAAGGCCGTGATCCAGGTCAGTTCAGTCCCTCACCGGGAATCAAACAATTTAATGAAATTGTGAGTTATTTTGAATTTAAGTTGAAAGAATGTGAGGAATGTGCTTAAATGTTTGTTCAAATATAGTAATTTAAAGGTAAATAAAATAACAAATAACAAAAAATCATTAAAAACATTGCATTAAAAAAATAGAAAAAATATTATCAAAATTAAATAAAATAAGATTTCTGAAAAACAAAAGAAAAAAAGTATAATTTTAGTGCTTCGGGTCATTTTCAGCTTCGGGACCCACGAGGGAAGTATGAGTTAATATATCGACCGATACCGGTATGATGGCCGATATACCGAAATATAATGGCCGATATACCAATATGATGGCCGATATACCGACCGATATGATGGCCGATATATCGACCGATGCTGATATGATGGCCGAGATATACCAATATGATGGCCGATATACCAATATGATGGCCGATATATATATCGCCCGATATACCGATATGATGGCCGATATACCGATATGGTGGCCGATATATCGCCCAATACCGATATGATGGTCGATATACCAATATGATGGCCGATATACTGATATGATGGCCGATATATCGACCGATACCGCTATGATGGCCGATATACCGATATGATGGCCTCTATATCGACGATACCGTTATGATGGCTGATATACCGATATGATGGCCGATATATCGCCCAATGCCGATATGATGGCCGATATACCGCTATGATGGCTGATATATCGACCGATGCTGATATGATGGCCGATATATACCAATATGATGGCCGATATACCAGTATGATGGCCGATATATATATCGCCCGATATACCGATATGATGGCCGATATACCGATATGGTGGCCGATATATCGACCAATACCGATATGATGGTCGATATACCAATATGATGGCCGATATACTGATATGATGGCCGATATATCGACCGATGCTGATATGATGGCCGAGATATACCAATATGATGGCCGATATACCAATATGATGGCCGATATATATATCGCCCGATATACCGATATGATGGCCGATATACCGATATGGTGGCCGATATATCGCCCAATACCGATATGATGGTCGATATACTGATATGATGGCCGATATATCGACCGATACCGATATGATGGCCGATATACCGATATGATGGCCTCTATATCGACGATACCGTTATGATGGCCGATATACCGATATGATGGCCGATATATCGCCCAATGCCGATATAATGGCCGATATACCGATATGATGGCCGCTATATCGACCGATACCGATATGATGTCCGATATACCGATATGATGGCCGCTATATCGACGATACCGTTATGATGGCCGATATACCGAAATGATGGCCAATATATAACGATATGATGGCCGATATATACCGATATGGTGGCCAATATACCGATATGATGGTCGATATACCGATATGATGGCTGATAGCATCTCTGCAAGTTGTAATTACGAGCTCTATGAGGACGCGAGATCTTAACGATCTTTACTCTTACATTTTTTTAAATGCACTAAATTGTAACTTTATCATTTGAAAAGTGTAATTGGGAATTAAATAGTCAAAACCATTGTGAAATTATAAAGTATCGCCTTATTAAACTGTCCGTACACTTATTGTCAATGCTTCGGTTTGCATGTAGGGACCCTCGTCTTTCTGGAAAAACAAAAGAAAAAAAGTATAATTTTAGTGCTTCGGGTCATTTTCAGCTTCGGGACCCACGAGGGAAGGATGAGTAATAGAGACTTTCAAAAAAATCCCTATGGGAGAGATCAATGGGAAAAAGTAGTTTCGGAACCAACGCCGCTCAAAACGGGGGCGATCGCTATTGCACTCAAACTGTTGTTTGATTTCCCATGAGCCTTTGCCTGATTGTTGGTGTTCCCGCAGCGCTTCCAGGAGAAGGTGGAGGCGCTGGAGCAGGAGGCGGCCGGTGAGCGGCAGCAACTGGTGGAGACGCACATGGCTCGCGTGGAGGCGCTCCTGAACGACCGGCGCCGGCTGGCTCTCGAGAGCTACCTGTCCTCCCTGCAGAGCGACCCGCCACGGGTACACACGCCTCACGTGATGCACTGATACACACGTGTGCATTAACACACACCTCACATGATGCACAGATACAGATACATTTTAACTTGATTGACAGGGCAGTTTAAACGGAGACGAAGTAGTTTGTGCCTACTCAAAAGTATCTTCATAAAGAGTGCATGCTTTTAGGGTGTATAAATCTGAGAATTGGGACGCAGCGAATAGAAATACAAATCATATGAGTCCTGAAATGGTCCGTGTTGTCCTGAATGTGAGTTTCTGATGCTGCTGTGTGTCCTGCAGCCTCGGCATGTGTTCAGCCTGTTGAAGAAGTACGTGCGCGCCGAGCAGAAAGACCGTCAACACACACTCAA